GCTTTCGGCGATGATGCAATGGGGGGTCACTCAAATTAAAGAGTGGTTCAGCCGCTTTAAAGAGGGTCGTATGTTGGCGCACAGTGACCAGCGTTCCGGGAGACTGTCAGTGAGTTGAAATGCTGATGTCATTGAAAAAGTGTGGACACTGATCATGGAGGACCTTCGTTTGGCCATCCATGAAGTTGCTGCTGAGGTTGGGATCAGCAAAGGTTCCACAAACACAATTTTAACTGAGGATTTGGGCATGCGAAGAGTGGCGGCAAAATTTGTGCCCAAGCTGCTTTTGCCAGAGCAGCAACAATTCCGTCTTGAGGTTGTGCAGGACATGCTGGAGTGCGCCATCAGGGATCCCGAGTTCCTGAAGACTGCGATCACTGGTGACAAGTTGTGAGTGTATGGATATGACCCAGAAACCAAGGTCCAGGCGTCACAATGGAAGCATCCAACATCCCTGAGGCCCAAAAAAGCACGACAGATTCGGAGCAATGTGAAGGTGATACTGTTTTTTTTTTTTTTCAATTATTGGGGTGGTGTGCATCATGAGTATGCACCACTAGGCCAAACTGTCAATAAGGAGTACTACCAAGAAGTCCTCCACCATCTCTGTGATGCAGTTCGGTGCAAGAGACCGGAGCTGTGGGACGCACGCAACTGGCAGCTGTGTCATGACAACGCCCCAGCTCATTCATCACACCTGATCCAGTGTTTCCTGGCCAAGCACGGCATTCCACAGGTTCCCAGGCTCCCTACTCTCCTGACATGGCTCCTTGTGATTTCTGGCTGTTCCCGAGATTGAAGACACCACCAAAAGGCTCCCGTTTTGACAGCTGCGAGGACATATACAGAACTCTATGGCACAGCTGCACACCATTCCAAAAGAAGCCTTCCAGAATTGCTTCCAGCAATGGTAGGAGCGCTGGGCTATGTGGAGTCACAAGGGACCTACTTTGAAAGGGATTAGGTATTGTAATCACCCAGATACAGAACTTTGTTTTCCCGGCCCAAGGTCAGATACTTTTTGGAGAGTAGTATGTTAGCTTGCTATATCTTTCTTAGCAGTATACCATAAAATAGTGCTGCCATCCCTAGGACTGGACAAGAGGGGCTGCCACCCAGGACCCTGGTCATTGACATCATGAAGTCTGTAATAATTCTTGTGTACCGCCTTAGCACTGAGGGTAGCAAAATCATATATTAACTCTTGAATTCCAAACCCAAGTCATATTGTAAAGAAATCTCTACTATTCCAATTGTTGCTGTTTTTGTCATTGATCATTATTAATATATATGAATTATCTGAAGTCATGGAAAACCAGGTATGCTGTTGGACACTGTAACAGGAATGCATAATTTGTTACCAACAAAGAAGCAAATTATCAAAATACCAGAACTGGAAAGTTATGACTGGTGGTAAAGATAATGAAACAAACTAGTACATAAAAATGTTACTGGCCAGTTAACAATACTGCAACTTACATAATGGGCTCTACAATTAAAATAGGAGCCTTTAATAATACCTTACAGTCTACATTACTTAACAATTTATTTTAATTTGTGTCATTTAACTTCTGGCTACACATGGTTCTTTATTTTCATTACTTAAGTCTAAATATAATTTATGCTGACATGGTTCCTTTTCTTTCAAGAATCAGTAATTAATAGTGGATAAAAGTTGTTAATGGATGGATAATATTAAAATATTCATTAAAGAATTAGGACATGAAGATGACTGGATTCATATGACCCAAGATCGGGGCCTGTGGTGGGCTTTTGTGAACATGGTGATGAACCTTCTGCTTCCTAATAGATGGGAAATTCCATAACCACATGACCCCACAGATTAATTAGTGTGTTTACAAGAGCCCAGCACTGCTTCCTATCCAAAGCCAGATGAATCCAGTTGACATCCTTCCTCCCTATTTCCTTAAGATCCATTTTAATATTATGCACCCATGTATGCTTAGGTCTTCCAAGTAGTCTCTTTCATTCAAGTTACCCCAAACATTGTATACAATTCCATTCTCTCCCATGCTTGCTACATGCCCCACCACCCATCTCACCATCCTTGAATCTTTTCAGTAATATACGAATTTATGCTTTCATGGCAACAGTATGCAATGAAGTCTTCTCTGATCAACCAGGTTCATACGGAGTTAATCCTACGTTTCGACATCTTCCCTCTCCATCACCACAGGCTGAAGTGATGAGTGTTGTGTCTGTTAAGTGGTATTTGACATCCGGCCAACAGTGATTTGGAAACGAAGACAGCACACACACACACACACACACACACACACATACCCAGCAGGCCCAGCAGTATAACACACACAGTCACAGGAGCAAGACACAACACAAAGCACAATACACACAAGAAAATAGGAAGAATACTCCAATAGAAGAAGATAGGTGTGACTCGCATATTGAGATATGACATAAATGACAAATCCTGAAGAGTTTTAATATTTTTAATATTTAAAATTTATCAATATATATGATGAATATATATTTTAGTTATTTTAGAATAAAGACAACAGGGCATGCAATGAAGTAGTTCGACGTACATCAAAAAGCACCTGAAGATGGCACTTTTGTGCTGAAACATGTAATGTAAGAGAGAGGAGTAAGGTGAATAAATGTCTGCACTGTAAGACGGTCAGAATAAATCATGAACATAAATCAGTTCAAACAGGACGCTTAAATATAACATGATTTGGAATTAAGTCGTTCAAAGTGGCGGTCACGAACACAATACAAAAAGATGGAAATAACTGAAAAATATCCTAGGGAAGGGCCAACAAGCAACGTGGATCTGATGACTGATTGCATCTGCACACTGTACCCCATGCGGTCAGTACTGGGAGAGGATACTGTTATCGCTGCTATCTAAATAAAATCCATTTCCTAACGCTTTATCATCTCTCAAGCATGCCTAAATTAGAAAGATAAGCGGGCAAACCTTAAAGGGCCCCACAGACGATCCGTCTTAGCATCCGTTTTGCCTGCGCAGTTCTAAGACAGAATGCTGAAGAGGGAACAAATTCCGTTTTGTTCTCAGTCTTGTGCTCAGTTTTCAAGGTACGGACACCGGAGAGCAAACGTCTATTCAACGCCGCCACATGGGAACTCGAGCAACTCCTCACAGACTACAACAACTTAAGTTTTCAAGACTTTCTGCTCAACCTCTCCCCGTCGGCATCAACCAGTTACTCTCTGTGGAAAGCGGCCAGGAAAGCTAAACAAATCCCAATTTCCTCCTATCCACTTCGGATTCCATCAGGATCATGGGCCAAGACCAGCAAGGAAAAAGCGGAGGCCTTCGCAAACCATCTAACGGCCGTATTCCAGCCACATCCAACTACAAACCCACCAGAAGACGAAGAAGCACTCACCCACCACCTAGAAGAGCCGCATCA